TTTTAAGGGACGACACGATTTTTACTGCCTCGGCGTTAAAACGTTTTGCAAGTATTTATGGCTACACATTACTTGTAATTTATATCGATCGATTTTCAAGTTGATCTTTTACTTCTTCGCTGCTAAAAAATGTTCGTTTATTCACACATTTAGTGAGAAAATATTCACGGATACATTCTACTTATGTATGATCTTCTACTTGTAATTTATGTCAATCAACTTCCAAGTTGCTTCCCACGAAACCGATACTCGCTGTCAGTCGCAACGATCGGGAGAATAATTTTACTTGTTCGCTGCCTGAAATATTTCTGTTTCACTCGCAAATTTGGCACTTTATAGCGAACGTCCAGCAACGTCGAAATATCCATGGATACACTTTGCTCGCAATTTATGCGAATCAGAATTGCGCTCAGTATTCGCGAAACGATGCTTGCTGTCAGCTCGAAGGGGTGAGAATACTTTTCCTGCACCACCGGCGAAGTATTTCTGCAATATCCACATATCTCAGGTTTTATAGAGGGACCGGGCCGCGTGTCGGAATAGTTGCGAAAGCCAGTGTATAAGCTCCGAGGAGCTGTCCATCGGTCAAGCACGGAATTCGATCGCGGCCAGAGACAAATCGGCCAGACTATGGCTTCGGGCGATTTCACGCGGCGTCAAACTTCCGAATCGAGTTGCTTGGGAATGTGGCCGAGTATGCGGGCCGTTGCACCTTCCAGACAATTCATTCAAAGGTGTAGAAGTTCCCCTGCATTGCGGGCTTTTATTTACAGTCGGCCGAACGTCCCGCGAGCACGTGCCTCCTGATCGATCTTGCGTATTTCCCAGGAATCACGAAACGCAGCCCGAGAGAGAGGGAGAGAGGGAGAGAGAGAGAGAGAGAGCTTCCTCCTTTCTGCGCCGGCAAAAACTTCTTCGTTTTGCCTCGGCCCGTCAAAAGAGAAGAGAGTATCCTCGAGCGAGCGAGACCGATCATGCTCGCCGATCGATCTCAAGCGCTACGCCAAATTCAATTCGAACCCTCCTGTCCGAGGAATCCGCCGATGTTCATTCCCGAATTTTTATTCGCCCCGGGGAAACTCTCCGCGCGTCGCTAACACACTTCGTTATCGAAATTTTCGAAATTTTCGAGCACCTTTCATAACGGAGTTCCTCATATATTCGGAAAATGGCGAAATATCGGGTGTTTTTTTTACGTTGAATAATGTCTTTTCGATTTTTACAGGAAGCATTTCATGTTTTGAACGTCTTCCTAATTTTTTAAACAGGTATTTCGTATCTCGAGTGTCTTTCTAATTTTTTAAAGATGTATTCTGAATATTTTCGAATATTTTTCTAATTTTTTTAAGGAATTATCTTATGTCTCGAATGTCCTGATTTTTCTAAAAAATATCTCGTGTCTTGAACGTCTTTCTAAGTTTTTAAAGATGTATTTCATGTCTTGAATATTTCCCTAATTTATTTAAAGTATTATTTTATTGCTCGAATGTCCTTTTGGTTCTTCTAAAAATGTATCTCCTATATTGAATATCTTTATAATTTTTTAAAGATGTACTGTGTGTCTTGAATATCTTTCTAATTTATTTAAAGCATTATTTTATTGCTCGACTGTCCGCATTTTTCTAAAAAGTGTCTCATATCTCGAAAGTCTGTGATCGTCTTTTTTAAAGACACGATTAAATCACAACAAATCACAAATAAATACAAGTCGGAATATCGCCCACAATCTACTCAGTCGCGTATTTTTTCAACGACGTCGATCGTTGTTTCGTTCTTAAATTCGCCGACAGAAAGACTCCGCTCGACCATGAGAGGAATAATGAAAAAATGATGATCCATTACGATTCCATCGAGAAGACCTGGTTTTTCAAACGAGCGAGCTCGGAATCTGTTTGCTTCCATGCACGATGAATTATGAATCGAAACGAATGTGCCTCTTTCACATTCGAGACGCGGCTAAATATTTGACTACTTGTTTCATATATTACAAAATCTATTAACGAGCGATGTAGCTACTGGGTGATCACGACACACGGAGTTGAATAAATATTTAATCAGGTGTGAGGGAAGTTGCGGGTGTACGTTTCGCGTGCAAATGTATGCGCCGCACAAAGCCGTGTTTCGGAACGGAATTTCATCGGCGCAAAGGCAACGGTTGCGGGGCGATTGATACGAATTTCTGCGTCGAATTGTCGACGATTCTTAACCTTTTAGGTACGGCTGAATTCTGCGCGAGGCTATTTCTCTGGACGGCAGAGTCTGATGTGTACTGTACAGAGTCTGATACTGTATATACATGTGGTGTCCCAAACATGTCTCGCAATCCGAAAGTGGCGGGTTCCTCAGGCCATTTGAAGCAACTTTTTCCTTTACAAAAATTTTCTCCGAGGCACCGTTAACGAGTTATTAACGAAAAACAGTGACCAATCAGAGGCGAGCTCAGCTGGCGCGAGGCGATCGAGCCAATGAGCGGAACTGGGCTTCGTGCGCTGGTTGGCTGGGCCGCCTCGCGTCAGCCGTACTCGATTCTTATTGGTCACTGTTTTTCGTTCATAACTCGTTAACGGTGCCTCGGAGAAAATTTTTGTAAAAGAAGAAGTTGCTTCAAATGATCCGAGGAACCCGCCATTTCCGGATTGCGAGACATTTTTGGGACACCCTGTAGACTGTTGTAAATCGATGTGAAGACAAAAGAAATGTGAAACAATGCATATGGAGATGATTATTTGGTTGGAACGATGAGCGAGTGAGCTATTAGAGCAAGCCACTATAGTGGCGCGTTGTCCAGAGAGATGACATCCGCGAAAGCTACTATAGTGGCGTGTCGTTCTGAAAGATGATATCCGCGGAAGCCACTATAGTGGCGCGTCGGGCCTAAAAGGTTAAACGTGATTCGCGCGACGATAACGGACGCGGCCGTTTCGGCGTGGAACCACCGATAATTATCGAAATAGGCCTCCGTTACCGTGTAATCCTCGGATTACCGGGAACTGTACCCGCCGCGAGCATAACTTGACTGTAATTCTGGGATTTCTTGCCGCCTCCCGGAGTACAAATCAACTGTAGCGGGTTCAGCAATCGTACGACCGGGATTCACGGTCCCGAAAGGGGTAGTTCTTTCGAAGTTCCGCGCCTTTGAAATTGTTCGGCCACCCTCGTTCTACTTTCTTTACAGAAGTTTAAAAATTATTGTTCCGGCGTGCCCGGTATGCTTTATTCAAGACCAACACCGTCATTCCTGCGCGCTCCCTTTGATTTAGTGTCCAAGAAACGATTATGGGTTTTGCACTCGAAATTAACCCATTTGTAGATTAGGTCGCCTTTTTTTATGCGAATCGTATCCTTTTTCAGTGGTCACTTTCTTCTGACTCGAATTCTTTTCTATGTCAAGATCACCTTTTTGTGACCATGTTTATTTATTTTTATTTTTATTTTGTTACATAGTTAAATGTTTGTTCAAGATTCTGGCGAGAGTACCAATTAGTGGACAATTAAATTAAAAAGTTAATTTAGTGGACAATGGACATCGTAATCGAGATCACAGTGAGAACTTTTCATAATTAAGATTATGAACATCGTAAATAATCAACAACGAATAAACGATGAGACGCGTCTCAAATGAAAACGTTTCACGTAAATGTTTCAACAAGAAAGGCTACATTTCGCGGCGTAGAACCTGAAAGAAGTCGGTATAGAAATTCTAATACTTCGGATGGCTCTGTTTGAATTATTTTAAAAAAAGCATGTGCCTACGTAGCTGCGGTGATTTGAAAAGAAAATACTCGTTAATAAGTGCACGTGCCTCGACTCGTATTTACTTACAAATTAGTATGTCCATGCAATCATATCGAATTAACATACTTACTGTAACATCTGCATCACAATGCATTCTATGCAGTTACGAACACATAGATGACAGCACACTCGTTTTTGCAGCTTTATTCTAACAATAAGGCCAGTCATTTTCTCGTTTCAAAAATGTAAAGCCGTTGGAATTTCAACGTTTCCGCGATACTTCAAATTGTTTCGTAGACACGAGCCACGCGTATTTTATGTATAATTAATAAATCGTATGTATATAATAATATTTATAAGTCGTTGTATATATAAATTGTTATTACTGAATCGTTATCATAATAAATCGTTATTATATGTCGTTACATATAAAAATTATTACGTTATTATTAAATTATCGTTATTTACGAATCGTCATATATCAATCGATATTTATAAAAATCGTTATTTACGAATCGTTGTATATCAATCGATATTTATAAAAATCGTTATTTACGAATCGTTATATATCAATCGATATTTAGAAAAATCGTTATTTACGAATCATTATATATCAATCGATATTTATGAATCGTTCTGTATAAATCATTATGTATAAATCGTTATATTTCAATCGTTATTTATAAACCGTTATTTATAAACCGTTAGATATAAATCGTTATATTTCAATCGTGATTTATAAACCGTCATTTATACACCGTTATGTATAAATCGTTAGGTATAAATCATTATGTATAAATCGTTATTTATAAATCATTATATATAAATCGTTACGTATAAATCGTTATACATATATAAATCATTATGTATAAATCGTTATACATAAATCGTTATATATAAATTGTTACGAATAAATCGTTATGTATAAATCGTTGCGAATAAATCGTTACGAACGAATCGTTATTAACAAATTGTTACTTATAAATCAATGTGAACGGTGTCAACGAAATCATCGATCCAGCAAATGAAGTGGATACTCGAAGTCCGCCAAAGAGACTCGAAAACCAATGACGCGATCATCGACGAAGCGTACAGTGATCGACGGTCCTCGTTCGTCAGCTGCACGTGGACATCGGCGATCGAGTGGACGAAGGCATTTGGTTACCGGGATCCGAAACAGGATTTCGTGGAGGGAACGTCGGGCGATCTCGGGGGTTTCCCCGTTCTCCCTGGCTGGCAGTCTGCGTCGCCCCGATCTCGCTTCTCCATCGCACATCGCATGCGGGTGCATGTGCCGGTGGATGTTGCGCGTGCGCTCGTCCGTCGGCTCGCGGCAGACAGCCCGCCGCTACGGGTGCATCTCGCGGCAGTTCGCAGTCGTCTTCTAAAGCAAGCTCATTAGTCGCTCAGCATTCGGCCGGGACACATTTTCGTGGGTCCCACTCGTTGCTCGCAGAGAACCCAGTCGCTATCCACCGAACGACACCTACCTCTCTCTCCCTCCCTCCCTCTCTCTTTCTCTATCGTCACCCTCTGTTCAATCCCTCCACGTTCTATCGCACCATCCACTCATCGGGCACCGCACTATTTTCTACCTAAAACCACCCCGGAAACACAAACGTCACGAGTCAGAAAAACGAACGAAACTTCGCGCGAGAGAGCAAACGAGCGAGGAGCAGTTGATCGTGTCCAGCGAGAAGAAGGAAGAGGAGGCGGAGGAGGAGGAGGTGGTGGAGAAGGAGGAGGAGAAGGTGGCAGACGTCCCGCGAGACAGGGGATGCAACTGAACTCGATGGGCTCCTGTGCACGTGCCAGCTGACTCTCTCTCGAGGAGCGTCGAACTTGCAACGACCGCGCGGCTCCCACCCTTCTTCGTCCTCTCACGGTGGAAATCCCCGTGTGATTCATCGGCGACCTCGAGGCCAGTTCACCTAAACCAGAAAGCAGGAATAGAATCATCTCGGAGCGCGGGATGAGAACGAGTTCCGTCCGAGTTCTCCGGTTCGCGTGAAGATCGAACGATCGGGGCGCCGTTCCCCGACGAGGTTGTCCAGCAGATCCCGGCGAAGAGGATCCGAACGGAGGCCAGCCTGCAGGTAGACCGCGAAGTCGGTCGTGCCCGGGGTCGTCGACACGACGACGCAGACGACGGAGACGGCGAGGAAGACGCCGTATAGCAAACGCGAAGTGGTCCCTAACGAGCGGCACGGCCCATGGTCGAAACCACTTCGATCCAGCGCGTCACGATCAAGCTCCCCATGCTGCAGCCACCGTCTCCCCTCCTGGAGATGGCATCGTTGCGTCTGCCGGACTCCGAAGAGTTCGACGTCGACCCACGTCGTCGCAGCAATAATGCCAACGTGCCGCCCACGACCGTCGCGGCCGTTCCACCGACCACTGGCACGCTCCTGCAGATGAGGGACTTCGGCAACATTCTGAACAACCTGATCGCCGAGGCCATCACCGTGAACCCGAGGACCACCATGGAGGAGCACAGCGGGCTGCTGAACGCCAGCAAAACCGTGAACCTCTCCACCGCCGAACAGATTCCCGATCGATTGTACAGGCACAGCATGGCGATGTCCGCGGTCTACTGTGTCGCCTACGTCCTCGTATTCGTCGTCGGCCTGATCGGCAACAGTTTCGTCATCGCCGTGGTGTACCGGTCACCACGTATGAGGACTGTCACGAACTTCTTCATCGTCAACCTCGCGGTCGCCGACGTCCTCGTCATCGTGTTCTGCCTGCCGGCCACCCTGATGAGCAACATCTTTGTCCGTGAGTACCCTGGACAAGTCTTCTTTCGATCTAGTCGAGCGGAAAGAAAGTCGAGCACAGCTTCTATTATTATAGAAGCGAGCAGGCGAATTTTCTCTTTCCAGTCGGCTAGCGTTCAATTAGCTTCTACGATCGCTTCGCGGGTATATCGGCCCTCCGAAAGATCCTCGGAGGCCGTGCAGGAAAGTCTGAACTTCCGCCGCGCGTTCGTTTCCGCCAGCAGCATCGTCTGTTTCCGATCGGGGGATTTGCGGGACTAACACCCTCGAACGGCACCGGTTACAGTGACACGCCGCGCGGTTCGATATCTTGCTCGCGCCCCGTCGCAGTTCCCATCGATTTTACGCTCGAATTCTGTCCCGTCCGTAATCTCGTATACTGACCGGCCGAATCGTGGCACCGACACAGTCCGCGGCGCGGCCATAAAACGTTTGATAGCGTCCGAAGCAGCGGGCGATGCTGAACGGAAGCCAACTTTCACCTGGAGTTCGGCTGTTGTGAAAGAGAAGAGGAGAAAGAATATGACGGAGTCGGTCGGGATCGACGGAGCATTGTGAATAGCGAAAGAAACGAAAGGGTTCGCTTCTGCTTTTTTTGCGCGGGGCATCGAATTATCAATCTCTCCTCTTCCCGGAGGAAACGAATGGCGAAAGTTTTCGCGAGGGCCAAAAAAAACGGCGCAGACGACGGAATCGATCGGCCGTTATTGATCATGCGTGGCCGGCAGCGGCGGGGGGGACTTGAAAACAGGAAAATTGGATCGCGGACGATTAAACGGGCGCGCAGGCCGCGAGCGGGATCCGTTCGCCGTCGATTTTCGCCGTTGCAGGGCCTCCGTTCCAGTCCTCGGCCGACCTCGAAGGGAGGTCGGAGGCAGGGCCGGCCGGAGGGGCTCCCTTGGTACTACGGAATCGATCCCCTTTCGCGATTCTCTCTCTCCCCGGCTCGGCTCCGCTCGGCGCGGCGCGGCTCGCCGCTGCAACGCGCGCTGTTCACGCTCGATGCACCGGGCGTATCGCGATCCCGTTTTCAGGGGGGGCCCCGACAGCTTCATCTCGGCTAACTGCAGATAAATTATTCGATAATGGAATCGCGTGATACCTACCCTCCGCGGAAGTGCGGAAGAGCCCTGCCGCGGATTCTTTTCAATTTCTGAACGCGATTGCCACCAGGACCGACCCGGGACGATTCCGGGGGATTTCAATCGATCCGCGGCAACCGAACGCTCTCCAAGTTAAATTACTTTATCCTATTTACGGTACACGAGGATTTCACCAGCTTCGCGCTTTGTTGTTAACAGGCCGCGGATTTTTCCTGCGAAATAAAAGACGAGCGGGGAGCGGGGAGGGCAATGCTGTCCGCATTAATTGCTAGATCCAGCTGCTGCGTACACGCTTTTCGCTTTTTTTGTTTTTTTTTTCTTTTAATCAGTCGAAGGGATTGCGTTTGAACAGTAAATGGATTTACCGTTTTTCGCATTTGAACTGCCGGTTCTGCTTGTACACGCGTGAATATACCCGGTTTGGTTATATTAATCGTTCCCCGGTGTGAACGGAGTTACGTTTATCGTAAAAATTCTGCGGCTTTCACGAGAGAAATACGTTTTCCTTCGGTTAGTGCGATTTGGGATGCTTGTATTTGTCAGAACTGTGCGAAATCGCAAGTTTTTCGAGAGGTGTTTTGATGTACAGGGTGTTCGAATTCATGATGAAATGTTCGAAAATGCTTTATCGAAGAGTTATAAGCTCTCGAAGATATTTACGATTTATCGTAAAAGTTGTAAAAAAACGTTCGAAAATTCCTTCGCCTGCAGGAATGCAGGCTTTCGTTCGTCGAATTAGCAATTGTCGTACTCTTTGAAATGTCCAGTTTGCATTGGGAACAACGGTAAATGCATCTTCTATCGTATTTTCATAATTAATATTAACCCTTTGCACTCGAGTGGCGACTCTGAGGCACCACTAAAATTTGTTACATAACGTTTTAAGATAATTTTTACACTAACAAAGTTTAGCTTTAAAAAATTTGTTAAGAGCGTAACTGTTGTGTGGGTCCCAAGAGTCAATTTCATATGCGTAAAATGCATTTGAGCCGTTTACTTTGAAAGTGGCCTAAAAGTCCATTTATTCGAAAATCCAGATATTTAAGGTTTTTACGTTTTAATAAATTTAAAAATATTGCTAATTGATAACATGGTGGTATAATGTTTCTGTGTTCCTAAGGGTCACTGCGTTCTTTCAGCTTCGCTGACATGAAATCATATGTATAACGTAGAAATGTGAATATTAAAATAGCTAGCTCGGTGTTTTTGAAAAATGACTTAGGCCACTTTCAAAATAAACGGCTCATTTTGTCATATAAAATAAAAATACTATAAGTTAGAAAAACGAGTTTATATTTACAGTTAAAATAGCTTCGAGTGCGAAGGGTTAAGTGTTCATTTTTATCATAATTTTCTTGTCAACGAAGCGCGTAGGAAAAGCATCAGTTGAAACGTCCGGATTGGTTTAAACAAACGCCCGCACTCCGGAGAGAGTTTTAGGACGGCATCGAGTCGTTTAATTAGGTCTGGCAAGGCTATAAATTGTTACGAGAGGTCTGTGAAAGGTTCTTTCGAAGGGCGTTGGTATCGGTGATACCGATATCAGTCAGCGGCAGGGAAGAGACTATAATAAGTACAGGGATGTAAATGACCAATTCAATGACGATTAATTAAATGGGTCAGCTAATTCCGATAATACCAAAGGATAACGAGGTGTATGGCGGACAAATATGAATTTGTCGGCGGGAGGATGCGCAATTAAGCAGAGATCGTTACGTGTGCAGCGTGTACGCGATGTAACATCCATCTAATTACGATAGACGCGCCGCTATAGAGAGTGCAGCCGGTAAATCGAGTTTGGAAATTTCACGAGAATTTTACGCGACAATGCATTGTTTCCCTGTTTTCGCGTCGTAACGATTCCGGTTTCCGGGTTCCAAAGTTTCTGGGCCTTTTCGCTGCGAACAAAAACGAGGAACGTTCGTCGCATTTTTTTATATTTCTCCAGCTTCTTCGAACAACTTTACGTTAGTTCGCTGTTTCGTCGTCGTCGGAGTTTGATCAAATTGCATGTTCGCCGTCGATGCGTTCGCAGCACTCGATCGAAAATCGAGAACCATCTCTTTCCGCTGTTGAAACGGCAGCGAACTAGCAAAGGGCTCGTCAGGACCGTTTTATGGGATCGCGTTCCGATACCGATTTCCATTTTTTTTTTCGTCTCCGTTGAACGAACGGACGCAAATTGCGGCTCAGAGGCATCTAAATAAAACCAACTCCGATATGGATCGCATACTTCCTGTCTTCCCCCTTCCAGGCGAATGCACCCATTTGTCTCGGTTGTTTTGACTTTAATGCTAGGCATTTGGCGAAATAAACGACGGTGCCTCGTCCCATCTTCCTTTTAACGATTCCCAATGCACTCGAGTTCGTGCTTCGACAAGAGCACAAATTCGATCCGACAGATTCACAGTTTCATTTCATTCATTTCATTGAATAATAATAATTCCCCGAAATTCGTAAAATTTCCATTCTACTCGGAAGCGACGCGCGAATTCCTCGATAAGCAACAAAGCAGCAACTTGCATTAAAATCGCACGGACGGTTGAACGTTTCTCGTAAATTACAAGAAAGTGGCAGCGATTATTAATACGAATTTTCCGCGATGTTCTTTTGCGTTCTCTTCGCGCACGCGCGCGCGCGCGTTAGAAAGAAAACTATGATTTTCTCATAAATAACACGCTCGACCTGCCAGAAAATTAATTCTCCTTCCTCAGGTGAAACTCTCGAGCTGAAATTTTACAAGCTGAATGTCATTATTTATGTAGAGTGAAATATCTCTCTTGAATTCGAAATCATTGGAAAATGTGTAGGTCAAGGACAATGGTGTTGAACAGGGATCTCTCTTCCACCAAGGTCATGTCTCCGGAGATGTCAAGGTCACCGGGGTATTTCTAAATATTTCTCTATCTTCGCCATCGCGCATTACAACCGCGAACGCGCATCAACGAGAGCCGCATCTAGGAATTAAATTTATTATCGACTTGCGAGAAAAAATGCCGCTCGAAGTGCAGCCGTCCGTCGAGAACAGATAGCGGGTTCGTAGGTGATTCTACGACATTGTAGACAGTGACGGAATACTTTCGTGCGATACATCGAAACTTTTTGTTTGACTCAGATTTTTCTGAAACGCGTTAATTGAAGACGTTTGCTTTTCATCGATCGCAATAATTGAACAGTTGGACGATTCGTGTGTTGTGGAATTGTGAATTTTTCGAAGCTTCCTAAAATTACAACGACGCCGTGTGATTTTTATTTTATTTGTGCGAGACAAGAAAAACTTGGTGTTGATGAAAAAATATGAAAAAAGAATATACGAAATAATGAAACTCATTATTTCTCCTAGTGTAACGTTAAATAACATTTTCTAATCCACTTGTAAACGAACCTAAAAGTGAGCCGTTTATTTTGAAAGTGGCACAAGTCACTTTACCGTAATGAAAAGTGGTGATTTTTTAATGTTTATACGAAATTATTTATATTGAGAAAAATATCAGTATCCTGAGATAACAAATACAGATAAATCTTCTCGAAAGTTAGCATCCATATTTTTAAACGTGTTAAAACGCAAACCCTTAAATATATCGACTTAAAAACAAAGTGACTTATGCCACTTTCAAAATAAACGGCTCAAATATGTAACCAGCTTTCACTGTTGAATCGAAACTAAATAATCCGAACGTTAATTAGGACTGATTCAGTGCTTGACGATGTATTACAGGAATGGCACGTGAACGTTCCGTGAATCGGGTCAAAGTCGTCGTCGCGAATTAAAGGAATACAATACAATTAAAAAAGGAGAATTCACTTTTGGGTCAGATTGACATCTGGGTCATTTTCATATTCTGCCTAGGTGGCCATGAATCGCGCTCTATATGCATGAGATTCACGGCCCGCGACT